TCTTCAGCTGATGTTAAATCTTGACCAAAGCTGTAACTAGTCAAAGCCTTGCAAACCAATACTTGAAAGTAGAAATCTACTCAACGTTCTATAATGTAATGCATCTAAAGCATATGATTTATGCGACAACACCGCCAACAGCAACAACAACAGACAAGAATCAGCATAAATGGGAGAAATCTGAAAGAAACAACCTCTTTTACCTACCTGGGAAGCATCGTTTCAACTACAGGCGGAAGTGACGAGGATATCAAGGCAAGAATCGGAAAAGCAAGACAAGCTTTCACTACTCTCAAGTCTGTGTGGAGGTCAACAGCACTCCTAAACATCAAAAATAAGATCCGGATTTTCAACTCCAATGTGAAGCCAGTGCTACTATACGGATCAGAAACTTGGCCAGCGCGTCATAAACAGCATCTCAGACAAACTACAGACCTTCACTAACAGCTGCCTTTGCTCAATACTCAAGATCAGATGGCCAGAAAAGATCAGTAACAGGGATCTCTGGGAGCGAACCAACACAGCAGGAGCCGATTGTGAAACAAACAGGCAGGAGGAAATGGAGATGGATTGGCTGGCCATAGTCTGAGAAGACAATCCATCAAGTGACATCACTAGACAAGCCAGTGCTCGAGTGGAACCCGACAGGGAAGCGGCGAGTTGGTCGTCAGTGCAAGGGTAACTTGGAGGAGGTCATGTGAATAGGAGATGAAGGCGTGTGGGCAGACTTGGAGCCAGGTTAAGACTCTATCAGAGAACCGAACTCAATGGAGACGCACGGCTGAAGCCCTATTTTCCTCTAGGAATTAAAGGAAACAATAATAATAATATGATTTATACAAGAAAACCAGGAGTTCTCTAAATCGCCGGATAGACGTATTCATGTGCTCTAATTACGTAGCCGACAGATTTCTTGCTCCCAGAACTAATAGTTAAAAAGTCAAAATGAAAAACACGTTACTTACTCAAATGAAATTTGAACATTACGGGATTCTTTCTGACATTAAGTATAACAAATACGTATTTGGATGTGGCTGTGTTCTCTGGGCTGGATGCTTGAATGGTGAAGCTTTCCTTCTCCTTCTAGGCAACACTTTTTCATGAATGATTTAAGTATACCTCCTGACAACCTCTTTTGTTCTGATTAACCGTTAATTTGCATCAGTATTCCTCGTGTAGAGAGTTCCCAGAAGCCTGATATTCAAATTGTAACAGCAGAAGGTAAGACATGGAACTGGATGTATATTCAATCCGTGAAATGGTTTCATTCAACGATAGATCTGTTTCTGGCCTCATCGTTTATTTTGAAACACTCAGTCTCTATTCTTATGTCAGCTTACAGTAATGAAGTTCTGACGATACTGAAGTTTAACGAAACCTTATTCAGTTGGTAGTGAATAGCAGTGGTATGCAGGATGCGCACTTCCCTCGGGATATATTTCTAGTTGTGTAGTTACTTAGATTCAGACGCAGGACGTATCATTTCAAACATCAGTGCATTATCCCCCATGCCACTGGATTATATAATTCATCTTAATGACGATGATCCTTATGCCAGTATATGTGGATATATATTTTTCCCTTGAGTCCCGACTGGAACTCAGGGCTTCAAACTGAAGCTTAGGTATTTCAGTAGCAATAGCATTTTATTTACAAGATGGTGTTGTAAGCTTCATATCTCAACTTCTCCCTGACACTGACTGACTTACCGTCGGTTTAGGAGTGCATCTGCCAGAGACAGAACACCGAACTATTCAGGTAGTTGACGACTGTCCACTGATGCACTTAAGTCCATGTGAAGATGTTAGATATCGTGGCTTTTACACTTATTAAATATGACAATAGTAAGCATTATAACAGTGATAATAAAACGTAGCTGTGATTAACGCAGATATTTACAAGAATAATGGAGACCGCATGATAAAACTAGACATTTCAGTGATAAGATTATATCAAAATCCTAAGAAAATTGCTTAAAATTGTGTAACTCAGAATATAAAGTGTATATATAGTCAGAGTGTAAACAAACCTAATACAAAGACATGGAAAGGATGAAACATTCACTCTGGAAACCTTTTTCCTAAGTTTATCCAGGTCAAATGTCAGATATGGCTACCTTACAAGTCCTACATCATTTTGAAATTTATTCGGAAGGTTCAGTAGAATTCAATAAATAACCTTGATAGCACATGTTCCTTTTATTTGTGATCCAAAAAGCTGCTTTTACTCCACTATAAACCTTCATCAAAGGCCTTAAACTACCACAAACAATTTGCTTATAGACACAGCAGGTGTACTTTAGGTGCCACTATAGTCTTATATCATAATATTGTCTCTAATTTAGATAGAGGTAATAGAAATTTTCGATATGTTTTCCTTGATTATTCACCTCCGTTTGACTCTCTAGCTAGGCCTCTTTTAATAATCAAGCCGCTCATTACAAAAGCACGGTGCTTGACTAGCAATTATTGGTTGCGTTCTTACTTTTGTGATAGGAAGCAGTTCACTGTTTACAATCGAATGTCCTCCAATGTTTCGTTTACTCCAGCAGGTGTCCCTCAGACAGTGCTTTTACTTCTCCTCTTCTGTTTTCCTTCTTCTCACATGACTTACTTGACTCATTCAGACGAAGTCAATTTTCCTAAATATTCCGATGATCTGACTGTTGCCATGCTTGCAGGTACTTCTCAATCAGATAGTTTCAAAATGAAGAATTATATTCATGAGAAATTAGTCAGTGTTCGTTGTCAAGTGGTACTTGAGCTAAGCTACGTCCCTTCAAATGTCAGGTTGTTAATTTCCCTTTGAGACACAGGCGTTACTCACATGAGCTGGTTTGTTCTCATGATTCTAGTTGCATAGATGCCGCTGAAGTTGAAATTGAATCAAATGTAACACACCTCAGACATTCTTATTCTTCCCACATCATTTTAGTTTTCAGAGAGAGATTTCGTCTAGCGTTCTACGTAAGGAATTTAAGAGAATGTGGTATCATTCAGTCAATCTCTACTTACACAGTTTGTCAATTCTTTCATTTTATCTATTCTTTTTTACTTCCTTCCGCCAAATAGTCTTTTCTAAGCTATTCACTGAAGTCATTATTACAATACGAACGGCACTAGTAAATGTCATAAGGTTCAAGCAAGGTATCGCCACACTAACTTGCTAATACTGTTATAAATGAACACATGGTTTCATGCAAGGGGATATCAAATATTATCTTATCGGACTCTCAGCATCCTCTCTATACATAACTCTCCTCATTTCCATCTCATCAGGTAGGTAGGTAAGACTAGAAGCAGCTATAGAAGATTTTATGTTCGAATGACCAAGTATAAATTCCATAGAATACCTTATTCGGTACACGTGTTATTTAATGAGGAAAGTGTTTATAGTCTTTTTAACAATGTTATCAATACGAATGCCGTATTCCAATTATCACCTCAGTAATTATAAAACTAGGTTGGATGCTGTATTACATGCCAGAAATTCCATATTTGTATCAAAAAATACCGTTCGGTACAAAGCTAATGTCCAAGTAGAACTAAATAAAGCTTGTTTTTATTGGCTTTTCCCTGAGCTGTTTACCCATCGATAGTGTTAGTTTTATTTATTGTGTTACTTTATTAGCCCAGTTGTTTTGCCAGTATGTTGCTTTATGTACTGGTTATAGCCTAATAGTGTGAATGTACCTATAAATTGTTAGTACACATAACTGGGCAAATAATCTTTCGCCTGAGTGATGAAAATTATACAGTGTCAATCAGTTTTTTTTCATATAATTCTACTTCCTGTCTTTTCCACGTGTGTTTTATGTTCATCTGTACACATCATTTTGAGTGAACAATTATAAATATCCATGTCAGGGCTCTTTGATCGTGAATTAATTCACCTGATAACTTATCGGTTCAATTTTTCTTCGCTAGGAAATCGTGGTGTAAGATTGGTGTTTATTTGAATGTATTATTATTGTTTCCTTCAATTCCTAGAAGAACATAGGGCTTCAGTTGCGCGTCTCCATTACGTTCGGTCCTCTGCTAGAGTCTTCACCTGGCTCCATGTCTGCCCACACGTTTTCACCTCCTCTTCACATGACCTCCTCCAAGTCACCCTTGCACTGACGACCAATTCACCGCTTCCCTTTCGGGTTCCAATCGAGCAATGGCTTGTCTAGTGATGTCACTTGATGGTTTCCTCAGAGTATGGCCAACGCATCTCCATTTCCTCCTGCCTGTTTGTTTCACAATCGGTTCCTGCTGTGTTGGTTCACTTCCAGAGATCTTTGTTGCTGATCTTTTCTGACCGGCCATCTGATCTTGAGTAGTGAGTGAAGACAACTGTTGATGAAGGTCTGTAGTTTATTTGAGATGCTCTTCATGACGTGCAGTGCAAATCTCTGATCCGTATAGTATTACTGACTGACTTCACATTGGAGTTGAAAATCCGGATCTTATTTTTGATGTTGAGGAGTGCTGTTGACCTCCGCACAGACTTGAGAGTAGTGAAAGCTTGTCTTGCTTTTCCGATTCTTGCTTTGATATCCTCGTCAGTTCCGTCCAGCTGTAGTTGAAACGATGCTTACCTATCTGGGAAGCATCGTTTCAATTTGAATGAGTTGTTCGATTTTAAAAATTATTCTTCTCTCCTGGCGTTTAGCTGAATCCTTTGACTGTGTCTTTTAGGGGTGTATATTGTAGTTACTCAGAAGTGTTGCCCTATGAGTGGATGGAGATAAATACTCAACGATGAGATTAGCTTGTGGTTGCGCAATATCACGAATTGACAGAAATTGGGATTCATGGGCTGACCGTTGGATCATCGAGTCCCATTGGCCTAATGATATACTAGCTCACCTTGTAACCGGATGATCCTGGGTTCAAAAACTGATTTAATTTCTTACCTAGAATATTATGCATGTATTACTTGTTACGATTTTAACTAACTTCATGCTCTTTTGACAAAATCATCAAAGTATTTTATTTTCCGGCATTTTTCGGTAGGTACTTACAAGGGATTCTGTGACAGTTGCCGTTGATGCTGTTGTTTATTATCGAATATACAATCCAGTGGTAGCAATTACAAATGTAGAAGATGCGGATCGTTCCACACGTCTTCTCGCAGCAACCACCTTGAGAAATGTGTTGGGTACAAAGAATTTATCTGAAATTCTATCAGAACGTGACATTATCTCTAGTATGATGCAGGTTAGTATTGACGATTTTTATATTGTATTTGAAGAAGATAGAACCTGAGAACTCAGTAGGATGTCAATTCATGTTGCATAGGAATGAGTGCAGAGCGGTTTAGTGCCTGCAAGAAATTAACGCTCTTCGAAGGATATTAAGACCTTCCATCATTCAAGTTGCATAAATTAAAATCATTTGGTTAGTGATGGATTCAGATTTCCTCCTGCTCAGCTCCTTTTGGAACTTAAGCCAGCTTCTTGTTGTTTTAGATGGCTACTGGGTCGTGATAGCCACCTATTGTACAATATGTACCAATGTTTATTTGTGTGAGGTAACTGGAACTCGCCAAAGATTGATTTCATTGAGCCAAAATATGATGATACATCAATTCCTAGAAGAGGACCTTCAAGGATTCTGAATGTAAAGAAGTGAAAAGCAAATACAAGATAATTTAATGGAATCCTGATGAGAAATTACATTCAGCATTTGAAAAGGACTTTATGGAATAAATTTGTCTGTCCGTCGTTTTGTTCGTGTAGAATTCATGGATTTTAGGATGAAGTGATCATAGCAAATATTCTTACTGAGAACCTTTTCTAGACCATTCAGCCCATCTTTTCATTTAGATTCATAAATGCAAGTGTTTTTTATTTTGTGACTTGTTGATCAGATCATACTCCATTTTGTATCTAGAGTCGGCGAACTGTAGACATCTGTGACTTATGCGTACACAACGTAAGCTTTAAATCATGGATTACACACACATTAGGTCATAGGAAATATTCAAAACACGGTTGAAGACTATGGGAAAAGTCATCAACTATGCTTTACATTCTTACATCTATATTTAATGGTTGAGAAAGTTCCAGGACTACTTCTGGGGGAAGGCTAAAATTAATAAAATGGCCAATAGGGATTGTTATTTTCTTATTATTATTCCCTTTCGTTTCGGATGGAACAAGGGCACTCAACAACGCATCTCCGCTTTGTTCTGTTTTCTGCCGTCCTCTTCAGCTGAGTCCACGATTGATCACACTCTCTCATCTCTTCCTCGCACGACCTCCTCCATGTCACCCCACCCTCGCGCTGACGACCCACTCGTCGCTCCCCACTAAGATTCCACGCGACCATTGGTCTGCATTGCGTGCGATGTCATCCGGCGGCCTCCTCAATGTGTGCCCAATCCATCTCCACTTTCTCATACATATTGATTAAGCGATTGGTTCTCAGCCGTTGATTTGTTCCCATAGTTTCTTGCTGCTTATTCTCTCTGGCCAGCCATTTGATCTTCAGTATGGAGCCAGAGAAGGTAGCTGTTGATGATAGTCTGCAACCTATTGGAAATGATTTTCGTGACACGCTGGCCACGTTTCTGACCCGTATAGAAGAACCGACTTCACATTGGTGTTGAAAATTCTATTCTTGTTCCTTATGCTGAGTGTGAAGGATTTCCAAGCTGATTTCAGGTTGATGAAGGCGTAACTTGCCTTTCAGATTTCAGCTGACTTTGACACCTTCGTCCATCTCAAAGGCCTGTAGTTGAAACGATGCTTCCCAGATAAGTGGAGGAAGCAACCATTGTTAAATCTCTCCAAATGATGGTGACTGGTGCTGATTGTTCTCCCTGTTGATTGGTTATCTTCATCATCTCTGTCTTCTCTGTGTTCACCTGCAGTCCTGTTTTCGTTCCCAATAGGGATTAAAACGCAGTAATAACAAAGCAGACAGGAAGTTCCGATAAAAAGCATAGTAGTGCAAATAGGGATTAAAAACCGTTAGAAAAACAGAAATAAACAGGAAGATTGGATGACAGAAGTAATGGGATAATCACTATTGATGGGACTAACTTTTTATGATAGCCATCTTAGGGACAATGATTGTACGTATTTCTTTTGGATATACAGCGTGAGCTTGAACGTTTTTACTGCTGTTGCCTCAGATGCCTCAACTTCACTCCTTTTGAGAGAGGTTTGATTGGATCTTGTTTTTGACTTCGAAGGACTTCTCAAATGGTGTTGAATGTCATGAAATCACCAAATGTTCTGTTATCAAACTATGTACGTACTTTCAACCTCCCTTTACTAGCCAGGCTGTACAGTGTTCACGAGCAAGTTTTACAATCGGGACGCATAGCATAGACAATGTACTCAGCTCTACAAAAACAAATGGACTGGCGAATGCAGGCTATATCTTGTCTTTCACGTGCTGATTGTGAGTATTTTATTTTGGAAGGAAATTTTACTCTTTGGTTGGCAGTAAAGTATGTAGACTTTATGGAGATGAACCGTTTTCATTCTACTTGTCTGAAAGAAGACAAACACGAAACAGTTTGCCAATAGGAATTTATTGATTTAATTATGTAACAGAATAGAGTCAAAGATAAATAAACTCTATTAGTATTTTTAGCCTCAGGTAATAATTCTAATCTTGAGTAATAATTCTCATACATATAACTTAGCTGAATCTTGTGAGTGAGTTTCAAAACCAGATATCGTTTCTATGAATATCTTGTTAGCTTTGCAAAAGCTGGTCACTGCTTGTCACATTGATATATTAATGTATTTTTGTATATAATTTAGACTATGTTGGATGAAGCCACAGATCCATGGGGTGTGAAAGTAGAACGAGTTGAAGTGTAAGTTAATTTACATTACAAATTATTATTATTATTACTATTGTATTATTATGAATTTCCTCACTCTTGGATTTTTTTACTGCACGAGGTGATGCAACTGAGGGTAATATACCTTTTCTTCAATTTTATACTGAAGCAGACACTGGTGTCACTTCAATTAATCAAATTTTTCACATGAGTTTTTGTTTTACTGTTCATATAAAGTGGAAAAATATAATCTGAGATGTTCAGATTATTATTATTGTATCCTTCGATTCCTAGAGGAACATAGGGCTTCAGCCGTGCGTCTCCATTGAGTTCGGTTCTCTGATAGAGTCTCCACCTGGCTACAAGTCTGCCCACACACCTTCATCTCCTCTTCACATGACCTCCTCCAAGTCAACCTTGCACTGACTACCAACTCGCCGCTTCCCTTTCAGTCGGGTTCCACTCGAGCAATGGCTTGTCTAGTGATGTCACTTGATGGTTTCCTCAGAGTATGACCAGCCAATCCATCTCCATTTCTTCCTGCCTATTTGTTTCACAATCGGTTCCTGCTGAGTTGGTTCGCTCATTACCAGACATCCCTCTCTGTTGCTGACCTTTTCTGGCCATCTGATCTTGTGTATTGAGTGAAGGCAACTGTTAATGAAGGTCTGTAGTTTGTTGGAGATGCTCTTTGTGACGCGCAGTGCAAGTCTCTGATCCGTATAGTAGTACTGACTGGATTTCACATTGGAGTTGAAAATCGGATCTTATTTTTCATGCTGAGTGCTGTTGACCTCCACACAGACTTGAGAGTAGTGAAAGCTTGTCTTGCTCTTCCGATTCTTGCTTTGATATCCTCGTCAGTTACGCTGGCCTGTAGTTGAGACGATGCTTCCCAGGTCAGTTGGTGAAGGAGGTTGTTTCTTTCAGGTTCCTACCATTTATACTGATCGTTGTCTGTTGTTGTTGTTCTTGTCCAGGAATCTTCATCACCTCTGTTTTCTCTATGTTCACCTGAAGTGTAGGCCTATCTTTGGTGCTTCTTCTGTCAACTTGTTACTTTTCGCTTGCATATCTTCCAGTTTGTGAGAAATCAGACATATATCATCGGAGAAGTCAAGATCCTCCAAGTTCTTTGTGTGAGTCCATTTTATGCCTGTTTCCTCATTGCCCGCTGTTTGTCGCATTATCCAGTCTAGTGCAATCAAGAAAATCACTGGCGATAGTAGGCAGCCAGCTTGTCTTACTCCTGTCCTCACTTCGAAGGGTTCCGTAAGTTTCCCGTTGTGGATAACTTGGCATGCAACATTGTCGTACAGCTGTTGGATGAGATGTATAATTGTCGGCGGCACCCCGTAGTAGCGAAGTAGTTTCCAAGTCACCTCTCGATCGACACTGTCAAAGGCCTTTTCAAAGTCGATGAAGATGAAATAGAGAGGTGACTGCCATTCCAGGCTTTGTTCAATGATGATCCGTAATTTGGCGATCTGATCAATGCATGACTTGTTTCTCCCGAATCCAGCTTGTTCCGGTCGAAGTTTTTCATCCAGGTTGGCATGTTTGATTCTCTCCAGGATGATGCGGCTTAGTATTTTGCTTGTGATGGACAGGAGCATAATTCCGCGCCAGTTGTTGCATTGACTTAAGTCTCCTTTCTTTAGTAGTTCGAATAAGTATCCTTTCTTTCAATCTTCAGGTACTTTGCCTTCTTTCCACACCTTCTCCAGTAGTGATGTTCAGATTAGACGTAGAATATTAGATGAAGGTTAACGTTCATTCAGTGAAGCTGAAACTGTCTACTGGCTGACTTGTCTTTGAACAGTGAATTAAGCATAGTCGTAGAAAATGCTTTTTTTTAATTTTTCCCACCTGAATAATCAAGTTTATTCAAGTGTGAAACAGTTAGTTGTATTCCAGTTAGGGATAAGATTCTCAGCAGCACATTTTGGTTGGCTCCACGATGGACTCTAAGATCCCATCTTTTCCTCACACTATTTACTCTGTGTCACTTTCGGATCTACATCCAATTCACCGTCACCTATTCGGGTTCCACTAAAGCTACGGCCTGGCTAGTGATGTTACTCAGAGGTCTTCTCAGCTTGTGTTCAATCCATCTCCAATTCCTTCTGCATATTCGTTAGCCCATACGTTCTTGATTGGCTAATGCCCAGAGTTTCTTGTTGCTAATTCCTTTTGACCAGCGATGACAGCTGCTGACAAAAGTCTTCAGCCTACCGGAAATGCTTTCGTAGCAGAGTCACGTCCCTGACCCAAGAGAAGCACTGACATAACATTGGTCCCTTTTATAAATTTGGATAGTGTTATTCGAAGACGGAGATTATCTGTGAAATGTGATGAATTCGCGCTATACATTTCGAACAATTTGATCACACATTTACTTGTCAAGTCAATAAGTATGGAAAACATAAAGGGTAATTAAATTAAACAAAGTGACAAAAAGGATTTAAGAATAATTAGAATAATGGACACAACGTTTGGTAATCCAATCAAATAAGGATTACCAAGGTGGGTAAAGAGAAATATTAAACTGTTTTGGAATACACTGGGGGGAGCTTAAGTTTATGAAGAGCTATAGCCTCAACGTATCCCAATAAGCACCCTTGACCAATTTTATGGATGACCTTAAAGGCTGTTTTAACATTAATCTTATGGTTCATCTCGATTAGACGTTTAGCTACAGACGAAGTTCGTAGTCTTACACCTGCGTCCATTGATTTTCCACAATTCATTTGTTTTCCTAACCATTTCGGAAATACCTTAATTTTCGCAATTTCTGTCCATAACAGTAGAAGAGAGGCTTGGTGAAATGTCTATTTAAGTGGATTCAACGTATTTCCACGACCGATGTTATAGAGAAAGAAAATGAAATATTAATGTATACTCTTGTCAAAAACGGATATCCTGTAAACTTTTTAAACAGGTGTAGAAGTCAATTAGTCTTTGAACCTACAATCTATACCGCCACTCAGAAAAATGTTTTCATCAAATCACCATATAATAAGGAAATAAACAGTAGGATTTTGAGACAAACGTTAAAATTCCGTCATCCGTAGGACTTATTATGCAGTTCAGCTTGTAATTATAGAAATAGCCAAAAATATGCTCCACTAGAAACCTCAAAAGTACACAGGTGATTATGTCACATCCCAAACTATTTACCAATTTTAGTGTGTGAATGTGGAACATATACATACGGAGGAGTAATCGTGCTTTGCATGTGAGATTTGACAATTAAATGTGTGATCAGATTGTTCGAAATGTAGAGCGAGAATTCATCACATTTTACAGATAATCTCCGTCTTCTAATAATACTATCCAAATAACATTCATGTCGAAAATTAGAATCTTGTTCCTTACATTTAGTGCTGTAAATTTCCGCAGGGATTTCGGTGTGGTGAAGGTCTGCCTTGCCTTTCTGATTCTGGTATTGACACCCTCATGTGTGTGGTGTGCCTGTAGTGAAACAATACTTCCTAGATAAGTGGAGGAAGTAGCCACTTTCAAGTTTCTTACTCTGGTATTGATTAGTGCTGTTTGTTGTAGGTGTTAGTTGATTATCTTCCTCACCTCCGTCTTCTCTATGTTAACCTGGGATCCTCTCTTTACTTCCTGCCTCTTATACCAACTTGTTAGTTTTCATCTGTAGATTTTTTTCTGAGTGTTCGTAACGCTAAACATAAACCCTCCACGAAATTCAGATCTTCTAGAGTATTTTTTTCCGTCCAACGTGTTCCTGTCTTCTCACTAGTGTTCTTCCGTATAATCCAGTTCACAACAATCAGGAATATCATTAAAGGCATTTTTGGGTTTTTCATTGTGAATAATTTGGAATATGGCGTTATCAAATAGTTGTTGAATGAGATTGAATAGGATTTGGGGGCACTCCGTAGTGTTGAAACAGGTCAGCACTGTTGACGGCTTCTTCACAGTCCATGAATTTGAGGTCGACGTTACTTAAGTTTAAGTTATAGTAGTGTCTACTGCTTTTTCTGTTGAAATGATATTTACTGTTGTTATAAGATATATTTGTCAGTCCTAAAAGCCCACTGTCAGTCAACTTGCTATCTACTACTCATTCGATATAAGTAGTAGGAAACCAGTCAAAATAAACAAGTGGTGCTTATTACCCAAATAGAAGCGATCTAAACACTGGATAACCATTCACCTTATTTCAAACCAAAGTCACTATCAACAAATCTTATCAAACTTGGCTTAGGGAGCAGACGCACCTAGAATTTTCAGAATTTTTACTAACTACTTGTCAATCCCTTGGAAAGAAGAATGAAATTGTCTGAAACTAGAACATTTCCAGACACACAGGTAATCAATGACTGTTTTCCATTAGACAATCAGCACCTTATTATTCGTGCTCTTTTTGAAATATTACGTGTAGAAAGCTATGTAAAGGGTTGTTAACCTTGAGTTCCTAGGGTATTTACTATCTGAAGTCACCAAAGCGTCGAAGTCTCGGCGGTAGAATGCTCACCAACCAAGCATGCATTTTGGGGTTCAGTCCCCAGACGACGAACTCCTTCACCTCGCTGAGCCGAAAATAAGAATGGTAAAGATGGAAGTTTAGGCATGCGTCTAGCAAGCCCATCTCGCGAAAATAAATACCACTGCTACCGAAACTTCAAGTCTCTAGTCTGAAGGCTTATGTTCCAATGGGAAGCCGTTACCAGTAGGGTACAGCAGGTTGAAGGTGGAGCAGTAACTCATCGAAGAAAACATTGCGAAGTAGTTGCGCTATATCGTGAATTGGAAAAAGTTAGAATTCATGGGCTGGCTATTGGATCGGGTCCCAGTGGCTTAATGGTCTGCGAGCTAGCTCGCCTTGTTACCAGAAGGTCCTTGGTTTTAACCCCCTGTGGTGGGGGCGCGTACTGCTGAAGAGTCCCAAACCAGGACGGAGGAGACAGCTGTTCAGTACTCCGTGGTGGTTTTCCAATGGTTCTCTCATTGATGTCAGCTCATGATGAAATCCTTCAACCAATCAAAACAAATCCCTACAA